GGTACGAAAACCCTTCTTACCTGTGAGTACAATTCAAGAAAGAGAGCACCTTGTAATAACCTTCAATAACGATCCTATCCAGGCCTATCTTTACTATTTCTCATTAATTATCCATTGTAATTTCACACCAGTCTAACTAAAATCTTTCAACGGAGGCTGCAGGTCTAGGAAGGGCTAGTAGCCCATAGTTAGAAGCTAGAAGAAAATATCAGGGTAAAAGTTTAGGTGAGTGAAAAGAGGTTTGAGAAGTGCATTACTAGGTAAGTTGAAGTTCTTGAAAATAAAAGCAGAATAATGTTAGAGCCAATGGAGAGAGCCTTTGCTAGAGTTAGAACAAGGATTTAGCTGCTCTCTTGTGGATGTCTTTAGATAACAAATTCATAGGCTTAAAGTGTATGTGCTCGCACTAGGTGTGAACATAGAAAGCAGAGTTGATACAAGAGGTATTCTCAATGGATGCGGTTCTTGTCATATTTCTTGGATTTAGAGTAGTTTGCCTGGGGACGAGCAAGATTTTAAGTTCGAGGGTGTGATAACTCTCCATGAGATAATGTTTTGTGGTTAAATGTGTGAAAATGTGAGGATCCTAATGAAAAGACCATGGAAAATAGTACAAATCATTTAGTTAGGCCCCTGAGCTGTTAGAATTCTCAAATTCCTCATTTTGAATGAATTGTGCTTAATTATTGATGTCTGGGAATTGGAGAATTTGTTGAGGGCAAGTCAAGTGCTTCCAAAGTTGTGAGTATGTTGCTGGAGCGTGGTCTGAAGAGCATTTATGATGGAGCTTAAAGCCGCTCGGATGTCCTAGCACATGTGACCGCATAGTAATTCTTCACACCTGTTTTTCACCGCGTCCGTAATGCTTCCAGGGGTACCCTAAATTTTAAGGACCCGATATTTAAAGGAAAGGATATCCTAGCCGCAAAAGGAGAAATAGAACAGAGATTTCAGAGAACATTCCCAGCATGTCACCATCCTTTCATCAAATAAGAAGCTAAGGAAAGTGGTTGCTTTCTTTTGGGTCACATTATGCTACTGAGGAAGCTTCCAACTCTCTGTTGTCTATTTTAGCAGTGGAGATCGTTTCTCTCCTTCCAATTTCTTTCTTTTTTCTCATTATAAACTAAACCCCACCGTTGGGGGGTATGAGCTTGTTGTAGCTTTATTGCTTGCTGTGTTTTAACAACCTTAAATACTAATTTAATATAAGTATTTTTATTCTTTCATCTCATTGAATTCATTTGGCAACTTATTTAGTGCGTTTGCTTGCTTGAGGCTCGGGAGAGTCCTTGTTGAGTGTGTTTGCTTCTATTAGCTTTAAATTCCTCTTTTTGAATTAGAATGGTGAGCACTCTGGGATAAGACTCACCCTATTGTGCCTATAGATAGATTTTATTAATTGTTTTGATTACAATGGGAGTTGGGTTAAACCATGTTTTGGTATCTCAGGAGAGAACCATGACGGTCTGGGCATTCAGTACTTTTGGGATTGCTATGTTAGCAGTGGGTGAAAGCATGTGAGCGAATCCTTCTGGATTTACAATTAAATCGTTTCTTCGTTGTAACTTGCGGGTTTTCTATGTTGGATGCTCCAACAATCTTACCTAAAAATCTCTGCAGCGTTTTATTATAATGTTTTATTGTTTTATTTTTGAATCAGTCACAATACTTCAATTAAACCATTTTTATTTCACCTTTTGGTATTCGGAAACTACTAAATCAAAATCTAGCCTAAATCCTTGTGGAGACGACCTTGTTTTTATACTACAACAAGTTATTTAGTGTACATTTGCACTAATTTTTATACTACAACAAGTTATTTAGCCTAAATCCTTGCAAAGCCCTTTCAGCAACCCTTGCTTGTTTTCTTTCTCCTTTTTGTAACCAGCTTGCACTGTCGTTTTCATGCCACTGCGTATGGCACTTGTAACCCCCTTTCATAGTGAATAAAAAGAAGTTTTGTTGTTTGCATCTTCGTTGCTTTGTCTCTTACCTATACGCTTGTTTTGTCTGGGTTCCGACCCCATCCTAGCGGTGTTTGCACTTATTTTGCTGTTCACGCGTCGTCGTAAGGAGCGGGGTGTATTCTCACGCGCACGTGTGGATACGCGCTTTAAGCGTCGCTTGGTTATGTCTCTTCAAGTTCGCCCGTGCGATCGAACACCTCAGCCAACATGGGATACATGTCTGGATCGTCTCCTTGGCATCCCTCTTTCTGTCGTCGCTTCGTTTTTGGTGCCCGCAGTTAATACCATAACTCCGACCATCCTATTTTCATTTTTAGGTAGGGGTTCGAGCTCATAAAAGGACTTGTCCCATTAGCCATATTCCTCACCTTTGAGGATGGGTAGTGTTAGGGTTTACTTTTTGCTGCAGAAATGTGACCGATTAGGCATGTTTGACTATAAAAAACGAACCCTTTCCCTTTACTTTTAGCAAAAAAATGTTTACATATTCTTAAAGAAGAAGATGCATAGAACATTTATGGATCATTTGCAATATATGGTATTTTGAGAAAAATGTAAGAAAATGTGGTCAAAGTTGGATGAAAATCACAGATTTTCTTTGTAGAGGAATTGGGTCTTGCGCATAGTTGGTGGTCAACTCTTCCAAAAGGTGTGTTTCTCTTAATGAAGGGTAAGGGAGTCAATTGACAAATGTTTAAATGGATCAAAGATGTATAGTCAAAGTCAAGTTGAGTTGGTTTACAAAATCTCAACTTATTCCCTCCTATTTCGGTGGGAAGTTCAACCACTTTGTATGCCTATATAAGGGAACCTCTCCCCCAGTAGCTTATCATCCCCTTTTCATCCCATTTTCATCCTCATTTGTTTCAATCTCAGCTTTAGTTTTCGTTCTTTAGCTTTAGAGTTTGTTGGAGTTATTTTATAGTTGTTATTTCCTTGTATTTTCAAGCTTCTACTTATTGTTTTACTTGTAATTCAAGTTCTTTCCTTTGTTGTTCATTTATCTTGTTTCTTTAAAGTTCTTAAGTGAGTTTAAACTCCCTTCAAGCTTGAAAGAGACGAAGGTTAAGGTAGAACTCCTTGTATGCCATTATTATTCATTTTAATTCAATGGAAATTACTGCTCTTATGTTTTTGTGCAATTTATTTCCTTTAATTACGTACTAATTTAGTTTTCAACCTCTCTGTGGAATGCCTTAGCCAAAATAATATAATTTCAACATGCTTGGGAAATTTCCTAGAAAGCGCTTGGCGCATAGTTGGATTGGCTTCTAAAAACTTCTCTTTACGTATTTTTTTCCATTTATGCACAAAAACCCAACTTTGAGAAGATTAGGTTAGGTAAAATAATAGGAAACCAATATAGGATGTCACTTAGACATAAGCACATAAAACACGGTCCTAAACATAGACCCTTTGACCCATAAATGAAAATAAGTTGATAAATATATTCTAGGATTGTACTCACACATAGAAATATGATTGTAGGTTACCCTAGGCTTTGCAGCAACTTACAGCGGTTCATGAAAGAGTAGAACTAAGATTTCCAATTATAGCCAGAAAGTGACTGACGTTTTTCCCTAAAGTATGTATCTTCTATATTTTCAATCAAAACTAAGGTATGAAGTAGAGAGGTTGTGTTTTGATAAAAAAAAACTTGAGATTTTGCAAACCCAGACAACAACTTTTGTCACCATTTTCTTCATAAATCACAATTGCATTTTGAACAATTTCACTTCTTAAAATCCATTTTGAAAGCAAAAGTCCCTGAGGATTCGACCTTAGAATTATTCTCAAGTATTACTTGTGACCATGTATGCTTGCATGTGTCTGTTATCTTTTAAGGTATAGAAAGCCCTAACAAGTTTTTGGCGTCGTTGCTGAGGACTTAATTTCCAAGATCATTTTCTTTTTAARTGCACTGTTTTATATTGTTATTGTTGCATGCCTCTATTTCTTGGGATCATTTGTTATGTCTAATCTTAAAGGGCAAAGTTATATCTTCTAATATGATTAGGGGGTAGTCTTTTATTTTGTTTTATCTAGGTTTAAAATGAAATAATAAAAGACTAAATATAAAATATTGCTTATAAGAGAACCCTGTCTAAGCAAGATTCTGTCTAGGTTGAGGTACTTAAGCTGACCGTAAGGGAATACCTCTACCTGGGAACCGAACTGGGGGTTGAATTAGTTAATATTTTATATGCATGCAATAATGTCATTAGTTTATTAAAAGGTTTAATAAACTAAAACATTAATGTACAACTACCAATATAAATAGTTATATTGGACCGACTAAAAGTTCACTTAGTAATTTAACTTAGTGGGGATTTACCTAAGTAATATACCCTAGTCTTAGAATACCAAGTGGGAGCAAAAGAAAATATGTAATATACTAAGTATATTTTTGATATACAAGGTATATAACATTTTTTTCATTCATGTTTCTCCTTAATGTTCACACTATGAGTTCCATGCTCGGCCTTGTGTCACCTTAGGCGCGGGCTCTCTACGGAAGGTGTTTGCATGGTTCAATATCGAGGTGAATGGAGATAGTATTCATAGCAAGTGGGAGAAGAACGTGTAACCATACATCCTACGGTCTCCACCATTGCTTTGCAATATGAGATTTCATACATGACCTGTCTGTCGTCCTGAAGCGACCATCCCTACGGAGGGTCCATTGTRTGGAATCAAAACCAAGGCAAACTCCAGAAATGGATAAGTGTCTCTTAGGTTTTGCTCCAATATTTTCCTTCCCTACGGCGCGATTATTGGGGCTGACCTTTAATGTTTGAAAATGGTGGGTCACACTTACGGGGAGTTGTTAAGCTAGTTAGCAATTTCCTGACCAAATAAACGATGACTAAAAATTATAGGAATAAGAGTTATTCTGGTGTAAAACTTAGTTGAGAACGTCTCAATTCAGTGAAGGAGTAGTTGTCTGCCCTACGGTAGCTGTTGCTCTAAATCACTGAAGCGTCGTTGCAAAACTATTTTGTTAGGGTGCTTAATTACTTTTGCTAAAATTTGATTGGGTTTAAAGGATAGTGCATGAAACTAATATAGGTTTGTTTTTATTTTCAGCATGTCTACTTCAACAATTGCACTCTTAGCTGCGGAAAAACTTAACAGCGAAAACTATAAACAATGGAAATCGAGCCTAAACACTATACTAGTGATAGATGATTTTAGGTTCGTCTTGCAAGAGGAGTGTCCTTAAGCTTCTGCACCTAACGCCGTTGTGGCGGTGCGCAACGCATATGATAGGTGGATCAAGGCATCTTGGCGAGCATATCTGATGTGCTTGCTAAGAAGCACGAGAACACGGTCACCGCCAAGGAGATCATGGACTCGATGCAGAGCATGTTTGGACAAACATTCTCACAGGCTCGTCATGAAGCCCTTAAGTTTGTCTACAACTCCCGCATAAAAGAGGGCTCATCAGTGCGAGAACACGTTCTCAACCTGATGGTCCACTTTAATGTGGCAGAGTCGAACGAGACTATCATAGACGAGCAGACTCAGGCCAGCTTCATTTTGGAATCTATTCCAAAGAGCTTCCTTCAATTTCGCAGCAATGCGATTATGAACAAGCTGAAGTATACCCTTACGATGCTCTTAAACGAGCTGCAGACCTACCAGTCACTTATGAAAAATAAGGGATAGGAAGGGGAGGCAACTGTTGCCACCTCAAAAAGGTTCCACTGAGGTTCGACCTCTAGAACAAAGTCGGTGCCCTCTTATTCAGGAAGTAAGACTTTCAAAAAGAAAAAGGCTGCTAGTAAGAGGCCTAAACCTGACTATACTGCTGTCGCTGCCAAGAAAGGCAAGGCCAAGATTGCAGACAAAGGAAAATGTTTCCACTGCAACATGGACGGGCATTGGAAGCGAAATTGCTTGAAATACCTGACTGATAAGAAGAAAGCCAACGAAGGTAAATATGATTTACTTGTCTTGGAAACCTGTTTAGTGGAAAATCGCTGGAGAGACAGGAGAAGTCGTTTCTGTAACGCTTCGTGTTCTCTGCCTCATCAGTTTAAGAGATAAATAGTGTCTTTGGATTTTCCTCCTAAGCTGATAATTTAAGTTATTGGATTTTGTAGATTTTTTAACTCCAATTTTGGGTAAGTTGGAATTTAAATTAGAATTTAAGTTTAATTTTTTTGGATTAAGATGAATTAAGTTTTCGAGTTTGTAGGAGACTTTTAATTAAATTTTTAGATATGAGGTTTGTTGGGAAATTTGATTCTTACTTTTTCGGATTTAATTCTTGGGTTTTAGAGTTAAGAAAAATTATCTTATTTTGGGTTGTTGTGGGATTTACTTTAATTAATAAAATATAATTTTTGGACTTCTTGTTTTGGACCGTTAGTTTTATTTAGTCGAGCCTCCTTTAAGATTATGAGAATTTAGGTTTTTGGGTTTCAAAACAAGGTTAAAGAAATTGAATTAAAACAAAAGAAAAAGAAAAGGAAATCCTAACTTGTTATATTCCCCTCCCTTTCATTGTGTAGCCGCCCCTCTCCACCATCTACTTCTTTATCTTCTTCAATCGATTCCAACCACCTAGCCCCCATGCAAATCATCACTGGAAAATGCCATTTCCCTGACTGTTTCTCTCCAGTGACACCACCTAGGGCTGCGAAACATGTGAAGCAGCGGCGACTTCGTGTTCTGCATAGACCCGACATCTCCAACGACACTCCACGGCTGCGCGTCCTATCCTCCGGTGGTTGTAGTGAATTCGACAACACACGATGGAGTAGCTTCTGTTCGGCGTCGATCCAGCTTGCAACGATCAACAACAACAGTCAACAAATAAGAAAACCAAATCCAACATTGACAAATATAATAGAACAATTTTCAGAGTCAAGCACAACAAGACACAAGCTTGCAACGATCAATAAAAGCATACATAAAATTCGAGAGTAATGAAAACAACAACACGAAGAGTTATCCAATACGATTAGCACTCAGTCACTCACGCACACGCCCCTGCTACGCTTCTAAACCTTGCGTCGATTCAACACCTAGGTATCAAGAGATAAAAAGACAGCAAGTTAATTAAACTTTCCAGATTTCGTAATTAATTCTAAGAGGGTTTGAAGGGTTCGTTACCACAAAACCGACTTCGTTTGAGTGTGGGTAACTTAGATTGGGTTTCGAATAGGTGTGGGTAGGTGTCGAATATCACTGAAATGCAGAAAACGCTACAAAAACGCTGCTTTCCGCGAATTGGATGTTGAAACGCTG